GCGCTGGCGCGGCGGTGGAAGGCGAGCCATCCGCCAGGCGCTCTTTAGGTGCTACAGCCTCGGGACAGATGACCGTGGTCCCAGATCCCGGGGCTGTTGAGGGGATGACGTCCCCGTGGTTCTCCTCCTCCAAGAACAATACCGGTGGGTTCTTCCTTTTCGCCACTTTTGACATGACAAATTTTCTTTTTCTTAGCACTTCTCATGCCAAATGTAGTGACTAACTCGGAGACAATAAGACTTGGAGGCACCTCTTTTATTTAACGAGCACCATCGGATTATGCACACCTACATGGGTTCACACTCTACAGTCACTCGCCTATACACAACGCAACGTGGGTTGCTAGCCTATACAAAACACTAACCGTCTAACACTGACAGTGCTGAACCGAGACAGCCAACAACTATCTAGCAGCACAATATCGAGTGAAAGCGACAGTGACGATGGCAACTAAACTACAGCGACGATGGCGATTATCTTGAACAGCACGCCAGGGATTCCACTCCAACGACAGCCCCGAGGTCCCTCACAGGGGCCCGTATTATACTCTCAGCGTGGCCTCGCTCCACCCCGGCCACGCCCCCTCTCTGGAATCTACTAGCGGGTTTCAAAGGATTTCCCGATAGGCCCCCCTCTGTGACCTTTCCCCTAGATGTCCCCCTCTCATGTCTATCGTAGCCTGCTGACGTCAGTACTGCTGTACACCGCAGTTCCCCTTTTTCGCCAGCAGCTAGCACTATGCCACTACACATGTATTTACATTGTATTCATTGTATATACCCTCTTACATTTTATATCTACACTCGTATAGGCGTACCACAACTTATGCAAATTCGCACGTACGTGGGGATACGCAGAACCTAACCCCTGCCGCGTACTTTGAGCCCTTACTTGACATACATATATGTATGTATCTTTATGTTGTCTATAACTATATATACCTCTCTCTTATTGATGCTGTGTGCCTCTCTGTCCTTGTATCCCATACCTCACCCGCCATAGTCCACCTGTACCCTTCCCAACCCCCTCCACAATAGTGCAGAGGAAACGTTTGAATCATGATTTTTAGTGCAACTAATTTAGAGCATACCTGATATCGAACAACCATTTGCAACTCTTGCGACCTAGGAAAAAAAAATCACACGATGAAATGTATCTTACATCACAACAACATTGTACCTCGTTAAATTCACAATTATTATCGCTTCATATTTTTCGCAAGTGAATCCCGATTGTGTTACCGGCATCGTCTCACGAGTCCCCGTATCCATTCAGAGCTTTCAGAGAGCAGTTCAACCCTTCGTGTCAAAGAACAACTCACAGAAAACGATACCACAGAGCTATTTCCACATGAAAAATGTGGCAATAAAACAGGTGACTACCTATCTGTTGTGTTCCTTTTTAATCTAATAAGTAAAACTATACTCTTTGGTTCTTTTGGTAAAGTCACATAGGCATAACATATAAAATAAATTAAATCACGACGTTTCGATTGCAACACGAGCAATCGTCATCAGGTGTGAAAACTACAGCAAGAACATTTTCAGCTTAAAATGTTCAGCTAAAAATGTTCTTGCTGTAGTTTTCACACCTGATGATGATTGCTTGTGTTGCAATCGAAACGTCGTGATTTAATGTATTCTATATTTTATACCTACGTGACTTTACCGAACGATCCAAAGAGTATGGATTCCTGCAGTCACTTAAACTTAAAATCTACAGTAAAACTATGTTATCTTAAAAATAACGTTCATTTCTATACTGCAGCTAAAATGAAGGCTCTCAATTCTATGAATCAGAAACTCAGGTTTCAACATCATCTGACCACGCAAAAGAATGTTCCCAATATTGTTTTCAGTTTCAGGTTCAGATTGTGCATATATAGCAGAGATAGAATCTGTGTTTCACATCGGTCTCATCTTGAGACCTCGGGCAGTAATTTCCATCGTATGTTGGTCTGCGTTTCTCTCATTGCATTCACTAAGTTCATCTTCTGTTTTGACTTAAAACGTTCCTGACTGCAGAAATTCATATTCTTTGGTTCTTTCGGTAAAGTCACGTAGATAAAAAAATAACAATAAAAAAACACTAATGTAGACTGTAGCCTGGTTCTTAATCGGAGTGAGTGTACTGGCAGTCTATAATGTAGACTGTAGCCTGATAATTAAGTTTGGAGAGTGTACTGGCAGTCTAAAATGTAGACTGTAGCTTGGTTCTTAACCTGAGTGAGCGTATTGGCAGTCTATAATGTAGACGTATTCTTGGTTCTTTCGGTAATAGAAATATAAGAAATATATAAAAACTAAAATTAAAATAAACTAAAACCACGACGTTTCGATCACATCACAAGCGATCGACACGTCGTGTTTTTAAATATTTTTAAAATATATTTTAAATATTTATATTTTATTTTTATTACCGAAAAAAGCAAGAATAAGTCACATTACTATTTCATCTGGCAGTGAAGCTGATTTTCGTTTTGCAATTGAAAACCTTAAACCATTGGTTCCTGCCATTTTCGTGAACCAGATTCTGTTCCTCACTGCTCACCAAACTTATACAGAGTTGATGTCACTGCAACAATTGCCAAATAGGACATGTGACGGCTGTATATACACTGAGACATACACGTGTAGTGACATAGACTGGGTCACTACGGCACATAGCGCTGGTTACTGACAGAGAGGGGAATTGTGGGGATAACAGCCGACCTGCCAGCAGAGCAGGGTGTAGCAGCTGATCTTCCAGCAGAGCATGCAAGGCCATGGAATGGGTCACTAGGGTGCTTAGCGCTGGTTGCTGGCAGAAAGGAGCATATGAGGGTGTAGTAGCCCAGCTGGCGAACAGGGCACGTGATAGGCCGGGGTAAGGGATGTGGGGTAAAGGTGACTGACGGGACACTTGGGGGATAGCCCAGAAACTTCTGGTGGGTTGCAGAAGGGGGCGTCGCCGAGGGCGGAGCTAGGTCACGCTGGGAGGCATGAAAGGGAAGTCCCGAGGCTGGATCAGGTCTGTCGTTTGTATGATACCCGTCGTGCTACATTGTCGTCTTAATTTCCTCGGCGTCATGGGTCAGGCATTATGCCGGCTGCCCTGACCCGTTTGTAGTTATCCCGTGTGTGAGCAAGTGTCCCGGGTGGAATAAACGTGTTTTGTCTCCTATTATTAGTGTCTCAGAAGTGACTTGGTACACACGTAACAAAATGCACGATTGTGTGATACAACAATGTTGATTGAGATGGTGTCTGTGGTTTCTTCCCTTGGCACAATATGCGACTGTGTTTCTACGGTGCATCCCCTCCCGGATAGTTAAAAACCACCACCGGCAGCAGCATGCCAGGTGGAGATGGGGCATCGGGTGAAAAATCGAAAGGTAGGGACCCAATTGGCCGCGCAGGAAAGACGGACCCGAGACGGGATTTTTGAATAAGGAGGTAAGAATGGAGGTAAAAAGGGGGGGAAAGGAAAACGGTTGGGGCAGTTCTTCTCCAGTGAGCCAGCTACCCAGTCGGACTCCCAGCTGCTTGAGCGTCCGAGAGATGCTGGCGTGCGCAGCTACAACTCGACCCAGGCAGAGACCTCCCGAACCCTCGTCCCTCCGACTCCCAGCACGTCCGTGAGATACCGTGAGTACGTCCGAGGGGTGAGGAATAGCGCGAGGGTTCCCCGAAGATTTGGATAGAAATAGGTGGGAGGCGGCTCGCTGGGTATTCTGCTCTGGGTCACGCAGGTTTTTTTTTCTTCGGGCGAACTAGTAATAAACTTGAGCACAGAACAACGACGCCATGTGGTTTCTGTGTGTGTGGGGAGAGCGTAGGGGTGGCGTGAGTACGTGCGTGTTTGCACAGGGGATTAACGCGAGAATATTATCTTATTATCTTCAACACGATCGGCGTTGTGCCCGTGGCTTGCGCTCGCGTGCGAGTTTGTACAGGGGATAAACGAGCGAACATTATCGTCCACTCGACCGTCGTTTTAGTTCAAGTGCGCGCAATCGCGTGCGGGTTTACTAAGCGCATTTTACGCAGTGTGTCCGCATAGCAATGCGCGCTTTACGCAGTGTGTTTACGTAGCGACGATTGCATTGCGGGTGTCGCCGTGGTGCGTAATTCGAGTGTGCATGCGAGTGAGGTTGCGCTGCGTAGTAACTCATTACCTGCGCCCACATTCGCACGACAGCCGCGCTATTTTTAGCGAGAGCCTTGGCGAGCAACCTGCGCCACCTCGGCATTAGTGCGGGTGTACGTGGGGAGGGTGTTGGGATAACCCGAGGCAGTGGGGAGCCAGCCACTAGCCATGCCCCACAGAGAGGACGCTGGTGCAGGGAGGCCGATCATCTGATCGGCGGCAGCCCGGTGGGAAGGAGAGGAGGAGCGTTAGCCCCCACAGCTGTACTAGTAACGAATTGGCATGTTCTATTAACGTGACAACCTTTACTAGTTGGCTGTCGGGTGGTGGCGGATTTTAACGACTTATTAACTGGTCGTGGAGAAGCATTGTTCTGTCCCTTAAGTTGAATACGGTCGTTAAAAAAATGTGAGTCATTTGTTTAATTTTCATCACATAATCGTACCAATTAATTCATTGATGTCACACTAAACTTTTATAAGCATCTATATTACGCATCTACACACCTCGCATTAATTTAATTGTTTTGACATATTTATTTTAATCATGTAATCTTGCCCGCGAATTCATTGATGTCCACTAGCCATTTGATAATAACCTATGTTACAAATCTACACACTCGCATGCACACTATTGTTTTGTAACATTTATTTTAAATCACATAATCTTACCAATGAATTATTTGATGCCCCTTTTTGCAATTTGGCACCTGTTTTTTTAGCACGGTTCCGTATGAATAGTCATTTTAAGCACTTTCCTATCGTTGTGTATTGTCGCGTTTACTAATTCAAGACTCAACATTTAAATCTTATTGACATGCTAACTTATCCAGCCCCCATCCGTCCCTGCACACCACAAACCCTCCCGCCCCCTTGAACTCCTGCAGCCACGACAGCTTTAAGTCAAAACTCAAAATTTTAATCTCATTGACATGCTAATTTTACTCTACAAAACCCCTCCCTTCCCCCCCCGTGCCGATATAAAACCACAACAGCAGATTATTATTTCTCACCTGATGACGGACGCTTGTGTTGCGACCGAAACGTCGTGTTCTATTATTTTCTTTTCTATCTCCGTGACTTTACCGAAAGAACCAGAGTATGGATTCCTGCAGTCACGAACGCTTCATATCAAGATTATACAACACAGCTCATACTGAAGGAGTGCACTGCATGCAGAGGCATGGCCAGCTGCAGACCGTCTGGCTGATTGCAAGCCAAGAGCGGCGAGAGACTGGGAGACTGCTGCCTTAACCCCAGCAGTGCGAAGAAGATATTGGTGCTCGCTCACGGAAGGAGCATCTAGTGGTTGCATTGTACCAGATCTTTTGTAATTGTAACATCACTTAATCACATCACTAAAAAGGTGTGTGTGGGGGGGGGTGTACACTTTAATGGGCTCATAATTTGGCTAATTGTACACCTAGACATTCATAGTTTTTCTTTGTCATATATTGATGCGTATGGTTGCGTCGATCACTTGCGTGTTTTTCATGTATACTGTAGAATAATGATGCAGAGTTGACGTGATTATGACACTAGTTGACGCGTTGATCTGCTAAATACTCAGCGTTGTAGTGTACTGAGTGTCCAAATGGTTTATTTCTGTTTCACGAGTGGTCTTGCTTGAAGAAGCCTGTACTGCTGGACGGATCTATCAACCTGTGGCCATTGTGAAGAAGGTCTTATTATTGATGTAAGAAAACCCTTAGACACTAGCTTGTGAAACTCTATGACATTAATAATGAATATTGTAAGACCCTGCACATACAATCAATCGGATCTCAGGGTCTGGAATCTATCTGCAGACAGATGCCCATGAAATATAAATTAATTCATGGCTAATGAGGACCTTGTCTTTCTCTGTGATAAAACCTTGGATTAGCGTTACTTTCAACTCGGTGTGGTTGTTGGTACAGAGCTCTGAGTTAGATTACCAGAATGAATTACATGGCATATGAGCGAAGTGATACGTAAAAATAATGGCTGAGGGTCGTAACCTCGGGCCGCGAGAAGAGGCCAGGAAGAGGGAAAAAGAGGCCCTGATGGAGGAAAGTAAAGCTATGACGAATGCAAGGCAGGCTATGATGCAAGCGATAATAATTGCATGCTATAAGAACTTCAGACCGACGTGATCTGGCAGGGGAGACTGTAGACGCACCTAAACAACAGAGTGATGCAGCAAGCGATCATACAGAATACGCTCAGATACGTAGATCCGAGCTAGATAACCTTAAGGCAGAGATGAAGGAAGTTCTCAAATATGCAGCAAATTACAGAGGGTGACAAAGGTTGTCTGTCAGGCAGCTGAACAAACAAAATCGTCATTCCCAGGTGGCAAACTCAAACCATATGACAAAGATAAATCACATGATAAACACAAATCACAGGATCAAGGTAAATCGTCACGATATGGGCAAGACTCATGCAAAAGTCACAAGTCATGTGATAAAATGAAATAAAGACAAATGACATGCAGTCTGCGTCCTGTGAAAGTTTTTATACTGAGACGGCCAATGAGGACCAGCCATCTAGAAAGGGGGCTCTCAGTGATAAAACGTTACGGTTGAATGAGGCTATCAAGGGGGGGGGTAATACTTTTCGATCCAGAAGATACGTTTAGAAGTATACAGAAGCACTTGTATCATGTTAAAGTTGTCGCGGGGAGGTGAAACTTAAACAAGTCAAAGTATAAATCACTTCTGTTGTGCTTGGAGTTTGCATGAGGATGCACCCCAGTGGATGATGTTCTTTAATTTCTTGAAACCGGAAATTATTCGGGATGTCAGGATGATGTTAAGCCCAGAAACAGCCTGCCTACACAATATTGAAAAAGGACAGTGTGCATAGCTTGGACGGGCAAGCGGAGCAAAGGGCATCTGCCTTCAAATAAAGCCCCGGTCCATCACCTTGTACAGTTGCATTTAGAAGAGGATGAAGTTCCTGTAGGCTATGGCAGTGTTGGGAGAACACTCAATTGGACACCGAGGGTCAGGTTTAAAAATACAACTGGCCAAGTGACGGAAAATGATCCGTGAAATTACCTCCAGGATAGAGGGGGGTCGGAGATGATACAATTCTACAGGACAAGGTCAATGACAAAGGCTGAGGTTTAATAATCACCCCAGGTTTCGGGAAAATGTTACGGTTCCATATGACAATCCCAGATTTCAGGGAAATGCAGCTCAACCATACAATTATCCCCGATTACAGTCTATTCAGGGTCCAGCTCAACCTGGCTCTCCACCATTAATACCACCATTAGCAACAGGTGGACAACCACCGTGTAGAAGATCGATGTGCCAGATGAGAATGATATTACTCGAGAGGTGATAAATACATGTTACAGCTTGGGGGAGCCGATTCCTGCCGGACCAGTGGGTCATAATTGTCAGACAGTGACGGTGCAAGGAACCATGGCCGGCGATGCTCTCTGACACAGGAGCTGACATTTCAGTGATGTCTAAGGGATTATGTGACGATTTTCATAGTGCTCTGACAGTTCGAGATAAACCATTTACCTTTATTCCCAAGGGATATTACGTTATCTGGATGTGAGAACATCCGCATACGATCCCTGGGTAAGGTGTTAGTGGAATTGATAATTATATTGGCCTTAAACTGACTCGCTCATTTGAACATTGTGCAACATGCCCAGAGATAATACTTGGGATGGCACTGCTTAATCGTCTTAAAACCGTTGTACATTATGGTACAAATCAAATATGTGCCCCATTGGACACATACACCTATAAAGAAACGCAGAATAAGCCAGAGGCAAGTTTTATTGAGGTCCAGCCCGTAACAGAGATGCTTGGAAGCTGTGGCAGGGAGCGAGCTTGGACTGCTGAACTGCGAGCTACATGCTGAATTTACGACCCGTAGTGAGGGAGTTTGTGAGGGTGTTAACACTAGTGCCTTAGAGCAGAATGCATGTCTCTAAAAATATACTCCGAGAAAAGCATTTCAAAATTTTTACTGCCTCCCAAAGATGAAGTAATTAAAGGGGTATTGAAAACAGAACTCTGCCAGAGTTGACCAACAATGTAAATAATGAGTCTAAAATACTGCCAGTGCTATAAAGAATCATGATTTTGTGGAGCACCAAAAAGCTACTGCATTGATGTTTAACCTAACAGTGGATGAGGACAAACAGCAGGGGGCAAAACCTGATTGCCAGAGGGACGCAGAGCACATTTCTGAAACCTCATACAACACAGACACAGAACATGGTGAGCATGAGTTAAGAGCTCATACTTTGGCCGATTATATTAAATACTCAGCTTTGTAGGGTACTGAGTGTCCGATTAGCTTAATTCTTTTTCTTGAGTCGAATTGCTTGAAAAACCCCGAAACTGCTGGACAGATGTGTAGTGACGTGGAATGAGTCACTGTAGCGCATGCCGCTGGGAGATTGGTAGACAATAGAATTAGGGGTAACAGCCCGTTCTACCAGATGCACCTGTGGGCAAGGCACGGAGCCCTCTGGGGATCCAGAGGGGTGCGAGGGCCGAGGGCAGAGTCTGGCCACGCAGTTCAGGATATAAGGCGAGCTCCGACTCACAGTCGGGGCTGCTGCGATCTGGAGTGGAACTCGTCGTGCCGTCGTCATTGTGATCTGCACTCTCTTCGAGTTGTGGGTCCTGCAGTATGTTGGCTGTCCCGACCCGGTGTGTGGTTATCCCCTAAAGCTGTAAAGGCCGGAATAAAAGAGTACCTCCTAACAGGACCCTGCGGGGTGGGCTGGTAGGAACGAATAACCAAAGAATATAAACATAATGTATTATTACACTTGTTTAGCCAGGAAAGCCCCACTGAGTCTAAAGGTGTTTCTAGGGTCCTGCCAAGTGTTTGCAGTAGGGGGCGATGTTGTTACACCTAATCGGACGATACGAAGGGAGAGTTTGAGGCCTATTTCTAGGCTTTAGGCCTAGCTGTAGGCTTTAGGCCGCTGTGAGTTAATTTTTAATTTAAATGTTTTAATTATTTATGTAAAAGCTTTAAATTTAAATGTTTCTATTTAAAAGCATCAGGGAATGTAACATTGTTAAACATTAACTCCCGTGCACACACGCGGGGGTACGATACGGAGGGAGAGTTTGAGGCATAGTTAGAGGCTTTAGGCCGAGTTGTAGGCTTTAGGCCGCTGCGAGTTAAATTTTAATTTAAAAGTTTTAATTAAAAGCTATCTCAGGGAATTATAAGAGAATGTTACACTTGTTTAGCCAGGAAAGCCTCGTTAATTTAAATGTTTTAATTAAAAGCTATCTGAGGGAATTATAAGGGAATGTTACACTTGTTTAGTCAGGAAAGCGTCACTGAGTCTAAAGGTTTTTGTAGGGTCATGCCAAGTGTTTGCAGTAGGGGGCGATGTTGCTACACGGACGGACGGACGATATAATCTATTGTAGGCTGGTCCACTTCGTTCCTACCAGTACTAGTGTATGTGAATTAGCACACTACAGATGTATGAACCTGGTAACCAGTGGAGAAGGTCTTATTTATGCAAGAGAACCCCGAGACACGAGCTTGCGATAATCTATTAAAATAAATTGTACAAATTGTGAGAACCTCCACATACAACAGAAGGGATAATGTAGGGATAGTGATAGGGTTGGGTAGTGCTAGGTGTAAGGGGTAGTAATAGCGGTAGTGTTAGGGGTAGTTATAGTGGGTTGGGGTAGTGGCAGGGATAGTGATAAGGGTTGGGGTAGGCCTGGTTGTAAGCTGGGGCATGGATTAGCAGTAGCAAGATGGAATAGCGGCGAAGAGATGGGGGTTGTTTTAAGGGAAGAACAGAAGCCGGTTCGTGAAGATGATGCTCTGTGTACTGCAGTAGGAGTTGGTTTCAGTGGAGGAGAGAGAGAGAAGGGAGAAGGAAAGAGCGAGACTGCATGCAGGGTGGCAAGGGGGTGGTACAGGAATGGACGGTAGAGACTGGGAGCATAGAGGTCCGGATGGGACAGTAGTGTATCTCGGTAGCAAAGCAGAATTGAGCCTGAATGAGCGCTCATATGGGCTACCATCGTGCAAGAAACGGTCGGTGTTAAAATTGCCAGCGCCAGGAGATCAAATCTTCGAGGTGTGCATTGCAAGCCCAGTAGGCTAACCATTTACATAGCGGTAGCGTCCCTATCAGTCACTCAACCAAACCTCCAAACAAATGAGTCTCAGACTATTCAAGTCTTATAGCTCGATCCAGGTGAATACGTTGTTAAGTTTACCGTGGCCAGCATCAGCACCGTCAGTAGCAGCTGCATTGATCTGGACAAAAGCCGGGAAGTTGGCACCACGCGGCCCATGTCCAAACGGTTTTGGGCAAAATATTTGCTGGAAGTGAGAAAGGACACACAAGTATGCATGTTGAACTTCTTTCAGACAGTACAATAGCCAACCACACTAATCGGAGGTTCGGGGAAAGAACAAACTAAACACAGCAACCAGCAGTTGTAAAGAAATTGGTTCTCATTGCAGTAGTGGTGTAATGTATAATGTAGTGTTGTGCGTAAATGTGGTGTGTAGTGTATATTGTATGTGAACCTCGTTTGCACCGTACGCAACCAACCCTGATAATTGGATAACAGAATGACGATGAGCTGTGGAGTGTTCTGTCCTTATAGCTCGATCCAGGTGAATACGTTCAATTCAAGACTTCAATAAGGTGAAACAACATGAAAAAAAATCAAATAAACAGTGCGAGTGCAGTTATTTGATCGAGACAATTTTTTGTAAGCTAGTTTTTTTTACAATGTACGAGAATACTTGATATTGCCTTCATCGTGTTTGTGTGTGTATATATATATAAAATCTACAATTCAAGAAGATAGGTCTTGATTTTAAGTCGTCACCAGCAACCATCTAAAGTTGGGACAATTAACCTTGGAAAACAGTGATAAACGTGGATTGGTATGGTTGATTTCTGGAACTTGGATCAAAAGATTGACTTGGTATTTTTTATGAAAGTAATTAACTTACAATTTTTAAGCTATACATATTCAAAATGTTTATAAAACGTACAACTTAACAAAGCGTGTTTTTAAACCTTCATGTAATGTTAAGATGTTTCGCACAATGCGCCAAGTTTTATCTTATTTTGTTGGTGTAAATGTTAATAGTTGGGAGCAAGCTAAATAAAATGATACTTGACACTCTACGAAACAGAATTACACTTGGCTGTATATGGAAGCGTTTCTTGGACAGGTGCATGATGGTGCTCTTATAGACGAGTTAAAGTGGTAGACACGGCACAAATGTTTAGTTAAATCTACACAGTGCTATTTATAACTACGAATAACTACAGAAGCTGCATAACTACAAATATCTACGTTAGCACATTGCATTTTGAACTAAACATGAAATTGAAATACTGCATGCTCACCTCTCCGACCTCGTCACTTGTGTTGGACACCACATTGAGAACTTGGCTATAAGTGGGTCTGAGGTTGATCATGAGGTAGCTTTATCCTCTTTACGGAAAGAAGAATGCCGAAAAGTGCCTTCAGGCAAAAAAAAAAACTCAACTGGGGTAGGCCAGCATTCGGTCAGTTATGACGGCTGTCAAAGCACCTCTGGCATTGTTGAAGTTTTGAGGCGGGGGTTTAAGACTTGCACTGAATTGGAGAGCATTGAGGAAGTTTTAATATTCACATGCGCAGGGTACGTCATTGTTATAATGCAGCGTGGCCAGTTCTCCAGACTAACAATGAAGTTGCTGGCAAAGAAGACCTGCATTAGAACATCCGCCTTCGAGGCTGAGCAATTAAATGAGCTCATGTGCAGGTGGTAAATGGATTGTTAGAACTCAAGACTGAGATATAGACGACTCTAGAAGGCCTTCTTACAGCAGTGTATAATCCTGGGTTGATGATTTTTCGTCATAGAAGGAACACTGCTGATTTCCAACTGGGTAATATTCGTGATATTGATCTTCTAAATGAAATAACAACCTTGATTACCTTTGTACAAAACTGTTAGTCCGTTTAGTTTGTTGTCCTTCCCCCGCACCTCCGATTACCATGGTTGGCTTCGTACGGTGCTAACAAAGTTAAACATGCATACATTCTGTTCTCCTATAATGCTGGAGTAGTTGCATTACTGAATACCACGTTATGGAAACATCGCGTTATTTTAAATATATAATATCGGGTAAAGCAGTCCTCGATAACACGTGAGATGTGTACTCAGGCTTAACAAAGACTACGGGACGTGGGTAGCATCGAGCATCATCAAGCAGCACTCTAATACCTTTTTGTGATGCTAAGCCGAGGCAGCTTTACGACCGCTTATTCCTACTCACGCGATATCGTTCCATTCGCTCAAATCGCGTTCAAGGGACTCCTCTAGTTACAAACATTCGACTTATGAACTTTCAGAGATACGAACCAACCTGTTATTCTGTCCAGTTGCCCGTTTGGACCGAGAGTCGTAAGTTCAACAAGCACAAATGGCGGTGGTTGTTTGATATCAAGCACTGGTTAGTTTTGAATCTCAGAACCCAAACACTGAAATGTTTACTAAGGTGTTGGCAGCTATTCACGATACTATTGCCTGTTACAAGTTGATTTATGAAGAGAAGAAGAGTGACTCTGCAAATATCTCTTGGTAAATTGTTCAAGAGAGGAAACACGAGCACCAAAGGGAATTAGCATCTACATCTGCAGAACATGAAGACTCAGTGGCATACTTTTTGGTTCTTTCGGTAAAGTCACGTAGGTAGAAAAAATATATATATATTTATTTAAAGCTTTCGTGACTGCAGGGATTCATATTCTTGGTTATTTTCGTTAAAGTCACCGAAAGAACCAAGAATATAAAAAATAAGATATCACGACGTTTCGATTACAACACAAACAGTCGTCCTCGGTCAGAAAAAATAATCCAGCAGTGGAACGGCTGCAGTCACGAAAGCTTCGTGTAGCCTTTAACAACTTGCTGGGGCACGTGGTGTCAGCGATCACCTAATGATGATCGCAACCGCCTTTGTCTCACCAGTGACGATGATTTTACAGATCCACACCAGGTACTCATTTATGGCTGAATCGACCTAGAGTCTCAGGACCGGTTAAGATAATCGTCACTGGTGTTGGCCGATGAGTGGGAATCGAACTCTGGTCGCTGGGTTCGTAGGTCAGCGCACTAATCGCTACACTACCGCTCCCCAAACCATACACAAGACAAAAATCCCCTGTATAGCCTTAACATACTATAGAGGGCAAGTGCTGTTGTCTCCCCAGTAACGATGTTCAGATAATCGGCACCGCACACACACACACGTAAATACACAATACCGTATAGGAAAATTAGTCCACATGAGAAATCGACGGAAGGATTTGTATAAGCTTGAGTTACTCTTCTTGGCTCTTTCGGTAAAGTCACGTAGAAGGGAAATAATAAAATAATAAAAATAAAACATAATAAAATAATAATTATTATTGTATTATGTTTTATTTTATAATAATACTTATTTTATTATGTTTTATTTTTATTATTTTATTATTCCCCTTCTACGTGGCTTTACCGAAAGAACCAAGAAGACGAATCCCTGCAGTCACGAAAGCTTTAAATTGAAACTTGAGTAACTCGTCTAGTCACATTTTTGGGGGTATTTGGGACAACGGAACGCAAAAAAAACCGGTTCACAATTTGGAAAGCTTTTACAATCGGTGTCCTCTTACGAGAGGACGAAGGCGCAGGCCGGCAACTTCTCGCTCAGACTACTGGCAAAACAGGCCTGCGCTAGAGAGAGCTTCTGGAGAACCCCCCCCCCCTCCTGCCAAGAGGGTTATAGAGCAGTTTCTGTTCTCCTATAACGCGGTTGTAGTTGCGTTTCTGAACACAGCTTTATTAAAGACTCGTATTACTAAAGCATATATAATATAGGGGGGTAAAGCACAGTCCGCGATAATGCATGAGGTGCGTAACACAGTCCGAACAAAGACCGAGGCGCGTGGTGGGTAATGTTTAGAAGAATCCAGCAGCATCCCAGTTCCTCTTGCGATTCTACGCCGAGGCAGTCGTACGTACGACCGCTTGTTCCTACTGGCGCTGCGACGTAGTTCCGTTTGCTCGATCGCGTAATATATCCGAATCGCATCCGCGTTATAAAAACATGCATTTCCTAACACAATCATTGCCTAAGCCTATTCTTATTTTTTTCATCATTTTGAAACTGGAAAAAGGTTGCATATATATAACTACTCAACCCAAGCTTTTAATAATTTGATACTTGTGTAGAGGTGCTAGACACACTCTATTCGGTAACCTGCAGGGCACTATGTAATCAGAGGGAAATGCAGTGTTACCAATCTGGGACCAAGGGCCGGGGTCAGGGAAAGGCGGGAGCAGATCGTAAACACACTTCCTACCAGACCAACGGCCAAGGTCAGTTAGGATAAAAGAGGATCGAAAACACAGATTCTAGAGAACCAATCAGAGGGTCCCACGAGAGAGCAGTTCTCCTCAAGACGAAGACTCAAGCCAGCTCAAAATGGCTAGGACCCTGGACCAAGCCTTCTAGCTCTTATAAGAGCTAAGGCTCAGTGTTAACAGTGGTCAAGGGGAGAATATGGTCCTGACAGGCAGGACCCTGGCTCCCCAGCCTTCTAGCTCTTGTAAGAGCTGAGGCTCTGCGCAACCTGTGGTCAGGGGACCCACCGAGCTAGCCTCCCCTAGGTCCCAGCCGTAGGACGCTAGGGTAGCGGGTAGATGGAGAATAGTCCCCGCCAGGTAGGAGGCTGTACCTCTCAAGGCTAGCAGCCAGACCCGTATGTAGGTCCCGCTAGGTACGGAGGCTGTACCTCCTTAGGCTACGGGTGAGGGAACCGCATATCCCTCTGTGTGTATAGGGACTGTGTCGTAAGAAAGACAATAAGCCAGTGTGTGCCTTAAGTAGTTTATTTATCTGTTATTTACAACACAACACTTGCATTGCCTTTGTACTGTTCGCCTTTTGTAATTGTTATCTGGCCAAACACTCATGAGTCAAGGCCATAAAGAATGGTGTCTCTGTAGGCCCATCAGTTTCAAAGACAATGCGTACATTATTGTCAGAGCATGTTTGTTTGCATGGTTGGGCACAATTACATGTGGTTCATGCAGACTTGATGTCTTGCAAGAGGATTTTGGTGTATGCATATTTTAACACCTGTTATAATTGCCAGAAAGGGTAAAACGTATTCTTACGTTTTTCGTTGTGCCCTAAATATTACAAAGTTCTCCACGTTGCGCACTGCATGACAGACCGCTGTGACGGCAAACCGGTTATTGTCCATAACCATAATTTATGGGGTTTTTAAGGTAAAGATAATATGTGTCGCTAAAGCGCCACCACCACCCGACATACCCAATTAGAGGGGTTTTCACGTAAACAAAAGGGGTCAATTTGCTCCGAGTTTAATACCAACCGGTTGTGTGCTGGAGAGTAAACCCACAACACCATTTACATGGGGGTTTACTCTCCATCACACATTTATATTCACGCCATTTAACCCCTCAAAAAAACTTTAATGGTTAATATTGGTGGCGAAAGCGTATGAATACGTGTTAATCATTGTCCATATCGCCGCTCTTACCCATAAACCTTTTCCAACGACCATCGAAGAGACCCATTCACGGTGCCTCTCAAAACCAGAACTCACAAGTTGCTTTCACTCACCTTCATTCGAGCTCCCTCTTGATGGCAGCATAATCACTTTCCTCAGTGAGCGCTCTCCGACCCAGAGAAGATTGGTTCCGGATACAACCACATTTAAAAATGGTTTGTAACTTTGATCCTTACCCGTGTATCGATAGTTCAATGTTATTCTGCAGTGTTATTGAGGGGCTACTGCTATATGTTGTCTTAGTGTAGTTTAGGACTCTTCTTGTTGTTTTCTACCTTGCCCAAACTTGCATTTCTTTGTTAAAAGATCGGCAGGAATGCATGGACTTATGCAATGTTCCAAAATTAGATTTCTTATTTCTTGTTTATTTTACATTTCACACTTCCTGGTAGACATATATGCGTTCCCCGCATGCCGAAAGTTGAAAAACACGATGACAAAGCCAAACGGCAGCAGGGAAACAGAATACAAGAGATTTTGATCAGATGGGCATGGTGATAATCACCAGAGCTGAGGATGGTCTTGTGAAGCCGCAGTATAGTTTGCTTCCAAGGAATTAACCTAACTCATGAAGCAGACGGGGAACAAATTAATGACAGACCAGAGGAAATAACCCTCGCGTGGGCAATGAGTGACCCAGGGAAATTTCTGAGAAATTCACAGAAGGCGTCTGACATTAGCGCCTCCAAAGGACAAAGCAGAACAGGATACGTAAGAGCACTCGTGGCAAAACACCATGAACCACTGCCCACCCGAGGGCAAATACAGGGCAAAGAGACAAGAATGTCCCTTGCTGTTTCGACGACTGTTGGGATGAACAAACCCTTTGTGCTTGGAGAGTTTAAACGTTCAAAATGACAAATACGCTATATGAATAATCTTAACCATCGTGGTACTACATGGTAATCTATTGTTGCATGACAATAGAGCACAGAGTCACGAAGTTTTGAATACGACTAGT